CGATGAGGGAAGGGAAGTACACTATTTGGTACGGAGGAAGCGGGAATCATTGTTTAGGTACCGGGTTTCTAATTAGGCGTAGATTACTATCCGCTTTGAGGGACGTACAATTCTTTAGTGATAGAATTTCGGTAGCTACATTTCAGGGACGTTGGTTTAAAATCGCATTAATAAACATACATTGTCCGACCGAAGACAGTGACGATGAAGTCAAAAGTTAATTTTACGATAAACTCGAATGGGTTTATGATAAACTACCACGAAACTACATGAAAATAATTGTAGGTGACGCGAATGCAAAGGTAGGAAGGGAAGAAGTTTATATTCCGACAATTGGTAAAGAAAGTTTGCACGAATATAGTAATGATAATGGGATCCGTCTGATAAACTTTGCCATCTCGAAAAACCTGATAATTAAAAGTACGACGTTTAAACATAAGGATATTCATAAATATACTTGGACATCACCGGATTCGCAAACACGAAATCAAATCGATCATGTCTTGATACAACACAGCTGGCAAAGCAGTATAATTAATGTACGGTCTTATCGCGGAGCAGAATGTGGGTCGGATCATGAATTAGTAATCGCGAAACTTCGACAAAAACTTAATATAAAAAAGAGAAAAGAAAACCGTTTCGATTTTGAGAATTTTAATTTGGAAAAATTAAAAAATCCATCAATTAGAAACCAATTCGAGCTAGATGTTAAGAATAGGTTTGAAGCTTTAGAGCTTCCTGACGAGGACCACGAGGATATTGACAAGTTATGGATAGAGATCAGAGATAATATTAAAGCGGTCGGTAACTCGTGTCTAGGAAAAAAGGAAAATAAGAATAACAAACCGTGGTTTGATGAAGATTGCTTAAACATGTGTGAAAAAAGAAAAGCCGCTAAATTAAAAGCTCTAAATAATCCTAGCGAAGATAATCTGGAATACTTCCGAATCTCAAAGAACGGAACGACAAAATTGCTCAAAAATAAAAAAAGGGAGTATCTTAAAAATAAAATAATTGAAATAGAAACTAATAGAATTGAAAATAACGTAAGAGAAATGTACAAAGGTATAAACAGATCACGTAAATATGTAGGGCCCGTAACGTCTGGAATTAGGGATGATAATAACAATATTTTGACCGATCCGGTTGACATATTGAATAAGTTTAAGGACCACTTTGACAATATTTTAAATACGGGAAATTATGATCTGTGTCCTCCTTCTGAGTACCAGAGTGCTGAACCATTAATAGAAGGACCAAGTAAAGAGGAAGTTGAAGTAGCTATCGGAAAATTAAAATCATATAAAGCAGCGGGAATCGATAATATTCCTACTGAACTAATTAAGGCATGCGGAGAAGCTGGAGTTTCTAAAATACATCGGTTGGTTAAAAAGATCTGGGTGAACGAGAAATTACCTGAAGAATGGAAAGAATCTATTCTTATTCCGATTCACAAAAAGGGTCCGAGGACGGATTGTAATAACTATCGAGGAATTTCACTGCTTCCGGTATGTTATAAAATATTCACTTTAATCTTAACCAGTCGAATCACGGAATACGCCGAGGAAATTATCGGAGACTACCAATGCGGATTTAGACGGAATCGTTCGACTATTGATCAAATATTTTCTTTACGGCAAATATTAGAGAAAAAATTGGAGTATAACGGTATTGTTCACCAGCTGTATATAGATTTTAAAAAGGCTTACGATTCTATTGACCGCCAGAAACTGTATAATATTCTAATCGAGCAGGGAATTCCAAAAAAACTAGTAAATCTAGTCAGGATGTGCTTGACGGAGACACTCAATAAAGTTAGAATCGGTAATAATTTGTCCGAAAAATTTGAGGTTCGTTCGGGCTTAAAACAGGGCGATTCTCTTTCGCCTGTCCTGTTCAATTTGGCATTAGAACATGCCATTAGGGAAGTAATGCGAACCGAGAAAGGGTTGGATCTGGGCGGGACAACATCCGTGCTGGGCTATGCTGATGATCTGGTACTGTTAAGCGAAGACGTTGAAACTATAAAACTAAATACGACAACGTTAATGAAAGCCGGTAAAGAACTAGGACTCGAAATAAACGTGGATAAAACAAAATATATGGTTAGCTGCAAAAATGGCGATACTACTGGTGATATCGATATAGATGGTAATATGTTTGAACAGGTAGATAAATTTAGGTATCTAGGTTCTACGATAACTAGAAAAAACGAAATTGAAGAAGAGATTAAGGTTAGACTGAAGGCGGGGAATGCTTGTTATTTTTCTGTGACAAAACTACTTAGTTCGCGCCTCTTGTCCCGAAACTTAAAAATTAGAATCTATAAAACAATTATCTTGCCTACAGTTCTTTATGGATGCGAAACTTGGCCGCTTACATTAAGGGATGAGCAGCGTCTTAAGGTTTTTGAAAATAAAGTATTGCGTAGAATATTCGGACCGAAGAAGGATGAGTTAACCGGAGAGTTCAGACGGTTACACAACGCCGAATTGCGTGAGATGTATCCGGATAATATAATTGAGGTAATTTCATCGCGGCGAATCAAATGGGCTTGTAAAGTTGTTGGGCTTAGTAACGAGAGAATTCCTAAAAGGTTAATATTTGCTGTGCCGAATGGTAAGCGTCCGAGGGGAAGACCGAAGCGAAGGTGGGAAGATTGCATTAAAGCCGATCTGAAGGGACTGGGTTTGGACGGCGAACGGTGGAGGGAGGTGTGTAACAAGCGATTGGTGGTGTCGGCATCGAACCTTCGGGTTCGCTAAGCCTTATTATTATTATTATTATTATTATTATTATTATTATAAATGTTTCGGGCTCTTCAACCACCTGGGTCATTTTCGCCCTAGGTTACTATCGTATCAACTACTACTTAACCTCAAATAACAAAACTATAGCTAACAAATAAAGTTTTAAAAGTTAATTAATAACTCTTTAAATTAATTAATGGAAGTATAAATTCTTCTATTCTCCTTATAAATAAATAAATAAAAGGCTTAGCGAACCCGAAGATTTGATGCCGACACCACCAATCGCTGTCTATACACTTCCCTTTATCGGTCGTCCTCCAAACCCTAGTTCCTTCAGATCGCTTAACGCAATCTTCTCACCTTCACTTTGGTATACACTTCCGTTTACCTGTTGGCACAGTAAATATTAACCTTTTAGAAATTCTTTCGTTATTAAGTCCAACAGTTTTACAAGCCTATTTAGCTCTGTATCTTCCTTAGGAAAATTAATTTCCTGATTCCTGCCCATCTTCGTTATCATTCATTATCTCTTTTCCATTCAACCAATTATGCCTTTCATTCATTAGTAGATAGTTCGCAGATTTATTTGCATCCCATGTAGATTTCTTTGATAATTCATAGCGATGATTGAAAAGGTTCTAACTAACAAAATTGTGCAAATTAAGTTAACACTCTGAAACAGTCACAACAAATTTCCAAAGTTTCAAATTTTAGAGCAGTAGTCCAGTCGAATGCATGATTGAAAAAGGGGTATAGACGGAAATGTTGGGGACATAGTTTTTGACTTTAGGACATTATATGGACTTGTAAGAAGATACTAAAATTCCGTACTCCAAACTTTTCCATGACTAAATCGTAGATCAATCAAGGGTTAGCTAGTCAAATATAGTTAAAAACATGAGGTAAATTTTTGTCCACATTACCGTTAGTTAAGGACGGATATCTTGAAAACTAAGCGATATAGCGATAAAAGGTATATAATCAATCATATTGCAAATTTTATCAGCTTTAATTTTGTATAGAATGTCTTTATCGATGCGATGGAGAGTTTTTCTGATTTAAGCAAAAATCCGAAAAAAGTGACCTATTAGGCTCTCTTCTTCCCACTGGCTCACCACCTAGGATTGGGGAGTGGTCTTTTAGTGTGTTTACCTCCTTATTAGTCCAAACAATGTCTCTTAGTCTAAAATTGAGTCCCCACCGTTACCTTTTATAATCATTCATTGACTGGACTATAGTCTTCAAGTTATAAGTTTATAAACTACAAGCGCTGTTTAATTCTCCTGCGCACTACAATCTATACCTGGAGAATTGGTGAGATGAATATAATAATTATTCTAACAATCAGATTTATATACAATCCCTAAAGCTTTCCTAAAACGATAGTTTTAATTTTAATTTTTTATAAAAATATCGTATAAATGATATCGATGGTCAATACTATCGAAGTTTATGCATCGATGGTAAAATATCGAATGTCAGAAGAAAAATAAAGATTTTATCTACTAACGATGCACTGCTTTGGATATGGTTCTCTCTCGGTTAGAAAGGGTTAATTTTCATTTATTTAAATATTTTCCTTCTCAGAAGTTTTATAAAGAGCAATGTACATGACCACGCCTTAAGTCAGAAGAGCAACCCTCAGAACAATTATTGTAATAGTCAGTTTTATTTTTGGATCCTAGAGGCCATTTCGGGGGACAGCAACTGTTCGATATTAGCTATGTTAGCGGCTGTTTGCATAAATACATGTTTGCTGACAAGAGCTAGGGTGGGAGATTAGGGGGTATTATTACAATTTTATGGAGGTTAAGGGATGGAAACAGAGGAAGGGCCTAATACAGGCCATTAGAGTAGCGGCCCAGGATCGAGTCCCACCCCCTCCTGAATCAATTAGCATATTTCACTCACTCCTCGTCTTATCGCTCCTTAAATATTTCAACTTTATTATCTCCCTTTGAGCAAACTAAATTGTCCCTCTTAAAAGTTTTCTCGCTAAATCTAATAGATCCCGCTGTTATATTATTATCAAATCCTCCCCCGGGAGTTGGGAAGAATGTTTAGTTAATGTTGGATGATGAAGAGTTTCTTCGTGGGAGTATAATAAAATCTGTGGCTGAAGATCTCTAGTCAGAGCTATGCGGAGTTGAATTTCATTTTATTTTGCTCTGTCCGTGCAATTTTTTATGTATTTGGATGTTAGAAGGTGATATCAAAGAGAAAAAAAAATTGAAATAACATTCGAGATGTATGGTGAGACTGTGGCCTAAGCACCATATCGTAGTGTATGCTGCTTCCAATTACGATGTTAGTCCTACTTGATAAACATGCATTTATAAAAGCTATATAAAATACAGCTTATAAAATGCTAAGTCCATATTTTAGGAGCCTTGCTTTATCCATAGGGACAAAAATCCTATTGTATAAAACAATCATCCAGTCGAAACTCATGGCTCAGAAGCATGGACTATCTCCAAAGCTGGTGAACAGAATCTAATGGACTTTGGTAGGAGGATTCACCGTAAAATCTTTGGTGCTGTGAAAGTTGACCAGTTATGGAGACGTCGGCCTAACCAGGAGCTCATAGGTTTAAAAAAAAAAAAAACAGACGTGGTTCATTTCATAAAGCTCGATTGATTTTGATAGGCTATTCTCGTAGCTCGAATGACTAACAATACCATTCCGAAGAAAATTGAAGCCGGTGTGGCTGGTGATGCCAGGTCCATACTGGGAGTTAGGAGCTGGATGGCAGCTGCTCCAGTGGCCAATGGGTGGAGGCTGGTACAGGAAGCTAAGACTTCGAGTTGTCGCGCCACCTGAATAGATTATAGAATACATTTCAAAATAAATGTTTCTATTCATTGGTGACAGGGTGAGAGAAAAAGGCAGAAAGATATTTTCTGGGTGGAAGTTTTGAAACCGGAAAGCTGAAGTGTTAACATAACTCATCGGTATGAGCTAGGAGCTAGCGGGGCATGGCGTAGCCGAGTATCCACTTTCTTGACACGTTCAGTCCCCACCACTTTTATTTAACGCTAATTATTTTTTCTAATATATATCTGAAAAATTCAGAACTTTTTGCGTATTATTTTCACAAATCACTTGTTGTCAGATTAGTACTTATTGTTATTTTATCGTTTTCTTCCCTATTAAATAATGAACACCTCCATTTCGTTCGTATGAAGGTACATTTTCCTTGATATGTATTAATTAATATATATGGTTTTCCCTTTATACTCTCCGAACTGAAAGTTTCTTATATCATTAGGGCTTATTTGTTAACTGCCAAAGGGATCTGGTTTAGTATTTACTCCTCCGAAGGGAAAAGAGATCCTAATTAATTATTTAGTATAATATCTTTGTTGAAAGGAAGCAAGGAGGACTTTGTTGACAAAGAGAAATGTGTTTAATAATCATAAGGCCGGACTGCGGTCAGGGGTTGGGTTGGATACCTGACAAGGTGGATGGCATCTCATCAACTGTTCTGGCACTTTCTGTCCCAAACCTTTCTCTCCGCTTCGGGGAACAAAAGACAAATTTCGGGACTTCCACATTATACCCACGTGCCTGTTTAACATGGTCTTAACTCCTGGTTTTCCTTTCTGTGGCTACCACTTTAGCCATTAATTAAAGTCCCAATTCTTTTTTTTTTTTAACGTTTTATTGAGAAATATTACAATCTGTCTCAGTTAAGGACACTTATAATAGATTTCAGAGATTTACATTCATACCGTATATACAGAAATATAAATAAATAAAGTAATAACAAAAGAATAAAAAAAAAAGAACAAAAGAAAAAAATATATATACACATAAGTAAGTAAAAATAAAAATAAAAGTAAAACAGACATCTTAGATACAAATATACCTATAACCACTATTTACAATCAGCCAGGTAATTTCCGGACCAATCTTGCCCTCCCCCCACGTGTGGAGGAAAAAGCAAGGCTTAGGAGATCCCTACGCTTCTCCCTCAGCCACTTCACTGGTACTTAAAACCAGCGGAGGATGAGTAAGAGTGCTACAGCCACAGACACTCATGATTTCAGAGGGGAATCTAGCCATTGCTAGAACTCCAAAATATAAAATAGAATCTCCCCTCCCCCCCAAATGGTAAAATATAACCATGTTTTATATTTAAAAAAATATTCAAAACTATTTCTTAAAGTATTATTGTTTTCGTGTAATTACATTTAACAGAACTTCAAGAATCACGTAAACACTATTTCATATAGGTAGTTAATTTCTTACCTTTTTTTAAAAAAATTAATTATCGTTATATATACATGAAAAAAAAAAACTTTCGGGCTGAAGTCATCCAAAATCCTGGATTCCCTAGTGGTTTAGACTAATCTAATTTAAACTTTAACAATTAGATCTCTTTTCTGTTGTAATGTTTATTACATCCCTTAATAATTATTGTTTTAAATATATATATATATATATATATATATATTATCACCGCCTAGCACTCTCTGTAAAGAAGGTAAATTTTCTGAATAGAAGAGCTCATCTACTTATAAAAGCGAAGCCGTCTAAATTAAACATCTCAGAGAATGAACAAAGGACTCTTAGGGAACTCTCTCAGAATGTAAAGACCAGCCACTCGAAAGACCAAAAGCACCGGCTTGTAAGTAATGGACTGAGAGGATTATGAAAAAAATGTTGTAAAAGACTTCTCCCTTCATTTATACCCGCGAATTATACTCGAGTCGGCTCCAGGAAAAATATTTTTAAATTGCCTTGATGAACTATTGGCCCCCCCTCCCCCGGTTAGAGTTTTTGTTCTTGGATCGAGAAGAAAGGGTTAGGGAAGAGAAAAGGTAAAAAGAGGAAGACGGCCAAACTTTAAGAACCAATGGTACAGTTTAAAAAGAAAAAAAAAAGGAATTTTTATTTGATATATATATGTATATATATATATATTAAAATAAGAACGGAATAGCTCAATGAAAAAGGTACCGTGATCCTGTGCTCCAGGTTTCGGGTTAGAATCCGACTGTGGCAGGTATTTATTGATTCTGTCACTTAATGTTAATAATCGATAAAAAGTGGTCCTTACCACGGACTATATTGTTTTTTTAGATTTATTATTCTTAGCCCTGATGAAAACCTGAACTTCGGGCCGAGACGTCGTCATAAATATACTTATTGATTTTTTATAATTTTTTTTTCTGATCACCCTAAACAATCTTCTCTTCTAATTTTTTTTTTTTTAGAAAAATATATTTATACTACTTTGTATAGTTTTGAATTTTCTTTTTTTATAGTTCTATTCATTTTGTAAATAGCGTGTTCACTTAACGTTTTCTTTACTTTTTATTATATATTGTTTTGTACCTTGGGCCAAGCATAATCTGTTTTGTACAATATTGTTATTCTCGTGGTACTTTGTCCAAGAATAAAGTTATTTTCTATTCTATTCTAACACAGCTTTTGCTTACTTAGTACTGAATCGAGACCTTTCTTAGTTGATAAAGCTACTGTTTCTGTTTTTTAAAATTCTTTTTCGTAACATTATACAGGGTCATAATTACACGACACTATTTTAGGTATGTGTTCACTAACACAAAATAAACAAAAAATTTCATATTAACATATATCTCAATCTCATTTATTAAAAAGTTATCAAAGGTTATAGATTTATTATTTATTTACTACATAAAGATTTATTGTACAAAGTTTTAATACTAAATAACAGGTTTTAATCACTTGATAAACAAATGAATGATAAGCAATGACTGTTGGCACGCAAGAAGACTTATGAAATCTTATAGTGGTGATTATAGTGATGAAATCTTATGATATAACTATCAAGCACCACCCTGATGCTATATCAAGAGCCATAGAAGCATGGCTTCGTCGTGTTGAATGTTGCATTCAACAAAACGGAGGCCCCTTTGAACAGTTACTCTAGATGTTGTAATAATAATAAATCTTTAATCTTTGAGATCTGTTTAATGAATGAGTCTCAGATATATGTTAATATGAACTTTTATGTTAGTGAACATATACCTTAAATAATGCCGTGCAATTACGAAACGTCCTGTATAAAATTGAATCATAGTGATCGTTAGGTTTTAAAAATAGAGTTCGTTCATATTTTTAATTATATAACCAACTTACAACACAAATCCTCTGACAGAAAACCTTAAAAGCAATAGAAACCCGTACAGCCCAACTCGACGTAGGCGGTGGCCAAGTGACCTGCTGAACTGAACTATTTCCTGGATTGTTGTGGAACGCTGTGAAGCTGCCAAAAAATTTGCTCATTGCAAAGAAATTCGCAGATCGCAAATTTAATTTTTTGATGTCCAATTTTATGTTATGTATTAATAAATAAATAATTATACTAGATTAGCCAAAAGGATTTACAAATGCACCAACATAGCGGGTTTATAGTGTTGATTATATGGTTAAATAATTGAGTTAACGATTGAGCTTATCGCAGGCCACTTTGCAACAGATAAGACCGGCTTCTCGTTAACCAGGCTGACTCCATCCCCTTCATTTGCGTCTGATTTCCATGTCAGACGGGGCCCGGGATCTGCATGACTCACTAATAGAAATGGTTTAACACTTGGGGTCTCGCTATGATGATATGTATGCTTTGTAACGGTTTGACTCAGCACCATTTGGGTGGAAGGGAGGAGGAGATAGAAGGATCTTATACACTCGTCCCTCAATAGGAGTTCCGTCGTCTTATGCGTCAGTTACGGAATGGACTTAATCCGTAACAAATATTAATAATGATAATATTAATTTACCTTTAATAATATATAACCTAATATTTAATATGCCAATCATAAAAGAACAAAGCCCTAGATAGCCAGGTCAAGCTTTCTCTGAAAGCTTAGAAATAGTTATCTAGAATGTACTTACTGACTGGACAGAAGGCACTTGTCAAGACTTAGGGAACAATAACCGATTTCTGCTAAAGGGTACTTTCTCACAGACTTTCATATCAATTCTAAAAGATAAGGATATCAATTCTTAATAGTTATAACTTCATTCACACGCTTCCTAGAACGTCCAGAATTGATTCATTCCCCCTACTATTCCTGAACATATAACTCCCATCCTTCTAAGACCAAATCACTCATGTAGATTATTCTCTTGATGTCTCTTACTGCAGGAGACCTGGAATGAACTCATTTAGTCAACTGATATATCCATATTACATTACTCTGTATTTTATATGCCATTTGTAACATTATGAATAAAACCATTATTTATAAAGTCTCCACTGCCTCCGATTCGTTCACTGTCGAAGCAAATCGGCTTACCTTCGCTATCATATCTAATGAAGTATTATTAGAGGTGATAAATATTCGATAAATATTAGATTTGGTTGGTAAGTGAAAAGTTGAGGGGGAGGATTTCTCAGTTGTCCTTCTTCAGATAGCAAAAGATAGGTAAAACCGAAAAAAATGAAAAAAAAAATTTAAAAGATTGCGTCCTCAATATTTACCATCCACGATATGTAGAACAGCCGACTAGTTTCCTTCAGTAAGTATTATTAACTATAGTATATTTTTGTAACATACTCCGAAATAATAAGAAAAATTCCTTATTAATATTCACAACTGGCTTTATCGCCAGTGAAGCGGTTGAAAGAGTAGCGCAGGGATCTCTTAGAGTCCTGCTTTTCCTTCTATGGTTGGAGGGAGAAACCTGTCTTGGGGTTCCCTGCTTGATTGTGTATAGATATGACTGTGTTTTTTGTTTTAATTTACTTATCTTTAGGTTTTTTTTAATTTTTATTGAACATAGTTTTTTTATTATTATTTTATTTTTGTTTATTTTATATTTTCTGTATGTATGTTGTGAATGTGTTCATATATCACTATAATTATTGTCCACGAGACAGATTATTGTATGTCTGAATGAAAAAAAAAAAATAATAATAAAGCCCTAACGAAGGTTTATATATATAACTTTTGAGTCCAATTCTCACAAAATATCTAAATTCTATTCAAGATTCACTAACTTTACATCATTTACACAAATCTCAAGACTGATTAAAAGTATGAAAAATTCGAACTAATAACTTCGTAAATAACTTCATCCCATGTTAACCTACAAATCTTTCATTTACAAAAACTCGCGGAATTTAGGTGTTTTTAAATCTTTACGTCGGCAAACTATGTATATTTAAGTAGGTACTAAAAATTAGTAAATACTCATATACTTTTCACTTGAATCGTAAGATAACTTGAGCACAAAGTCGGAAAAAAAGGTGGCCTTCAAAAATATTGAGCCTTTTGGCCCGACCTACACCCCCGAAATTGTCAAAATATCTAGGTTTTAAAGGTCAAACGGTCTAATATTTTTGTAGGCCACCTTTTTAGTACTTAATTAAATAGACAAAGTTTGCCCAGCTCATAATTGAATGAAAACTCCCCAATCCCGAGAATTTTCGTAAATAAAATATTTGTAGGTTACGATGAGATGAAGTTTCATCCGGATGTTAATAATTTGAAAAAAAGGGGTCTGTACCACGGACTATAAAGTTTTTTTATCCTACTTTAGAACTTTATAAAAAGTCTAACGCAGGATACCAATGGGCTTATGGTAGTCCGAAGTTTTAAGAGATTTCATATACGGTTTTTCTGTGAATTTTTCCTTATTTAATACAGTTGCGTTTTCAGCTTTGATGTAAGTCGCTTTGTTCTAGTTGAAAGAGGTGAATACTTTTCTAAACGGCGTACTCTTTATCTGTTGTATTAAGCTCAGAATCAACAAAGCTGTCATCCGTAACGAGTTCAAAGTAGGGAACCCTTTCATAATTCCAACAGTATTCTCATCATTGATGTGCACATAGCAAAAGGTTGCCGTATTACGTTCTAACACCCATATCTCTTGAACGTCACATGTTGCTTCGTTTTATTTTTTTTCCTAGTATAATCTCCATTTCTTGCAATTTATTTATTTACAGATAATATCATTTATTTATTTATTTTATTCTTAATGACTAAGATCCTTCATGGATTTTAATATTACAGTAATTTTTTTTATATGTTTTAAATGTTAATTGCTTCTGTGTTTATTCGACGTTTCGATTCCGGTTTTTTATAAGTTAACAATGACATCCTATTCAAAGTTTTAAATACCTCGATACGTCAGGCCAGGGACACACCGACAGTCTCAGCACCGTCCACCAGCACATATATTAAGCTACTCGAATAACGAAACGTTGAATAAACACAGAAGCAATGAACATATAGTAGTTTATTGAATAATTAATAAGTGACCTTATTCCCAATAAAATAATTATGTTAAAATATAATAATCAAAGGTCGATTGAAAAAAAAATGTAAATAAATATAATCTCCATACCAGACTGAAACGATTAGAAACCGCACGACGTTTTCGACTACTGCAGCACTTACTGGACAAACGCTCTAAGCTTTCAATCAATTACAAACGACTTCGAGGTTTCGAATGGTTCTGAAGTTTATTCTATAAGAACAAATACCAACTTCTTCAGAACCAAAAACCCTCCCTACATCCTAGAACTCCTTACTTTACGCTCCTCTATCCACTCTCTCAATACCAGGTCTCGACCTATAGATTTATATATCCCCTCCCACAAAACGTCTTCCTTGATTAAATCCTGCGTCATTCGTGCTACCTCCTTTTGGAACTCTCCTCCTGCCTCCATACGTCAATCCTCGTCCAAGAATTTCTTCAAACAACTCCTGTTCCACCACCTACCCTACATTCAAACTTTCGTAAACATATAAAATTGCTTGCATCTGTACACTGTTTAATTTCAATCTAATTTACAATTGCAACAACAATCAACTAGTTTGTATTTTTAATTATTCTATGTCAGACTAAGACCCATAAATTTGTAAATCTGTTATTATTCTTAGGGGACAGTAGTCCCAGAATAAAATCATTTTTTTCATTTCATTTCAAGTATCTGGATCGGACCAAATCGGAATCATAAGGAACGTGAGTGATTTTTCGAATGATGTTTTGATTGTAAGGATTGGATATAGGGATAAATCGATGGCTTACTGGAGCTCTAAAGCTCAGCTACGTAAGCCCAATTCGTCTTAGTCACGTGTATGAGTATTTCATAATTAATTGGAAGCTTACTGCGTTTGTGTAGTAAGTGCTGGAGTACTCGGAAACATCAAGCGCTTTCTGTTTGTTTATTTGGTATGAAGATTCCAAGTTAGACGTTTGTCCAAGATATCGGAATTTTTCAACAGGTATAAGTGGGGCATTATTGATACTGTAGAAGAGAAAGTCAGAAGTTTATGACGATGGATAAAGGTGCTTTGATGCACAGGCGAATCTACGGGGGGTGCTTTCGGGCTGAAGCCACCCTCCCCAAAAATGGTAAACTATAATATAACCATATTATATAGAATCAAATATTAAGAATCATCTCTTAAAGTATTATTGTTCGTATAATTGCATTACATAGGACTTCAAGAATCACTAAGACACCATGTCATATGTGTAGTTAGTTTCTTTCTTTTTTTTTCAAATTAATTATCGTTATATATGTGAAAAAAAAGGCTTACGAGCTGAAGCGCCGCTCCCCAAAAAAAAAAAAATAAATCCTGAATCCGCTAGTGGTTTGATGTGATTTATTGACATTATTCTTCAACGTTTGTGATTGAAGAGTTTGAGATGCAATTGTTATTGGAAAGTTTGAAACTGGAAGTAATAAATATTAAATAAACGCTATGATTCTTTTATTTTCTCTGAGGAAGCCGGACAGAAATGAATATTTTTCCTACTATATCATTAGTTAGGTTTAGCAGTGAAGTTGATTATATTTATTCTTTAAAGCTTTGTTTATTTTCCTATAATTAATCTAGGATTTGAGAAAGCTGCTTATCACTGTTGGCAGGTGGTCAGTGAGGGCCGTGTAAGGGGGGTTATAGGGACCTTGGTGGGGGAGGGGGGTTGCCCTTTACCAAGAATTATTCAGTTTAATTTACATTTTAGAGTCCTCTCCCTCGTGCCTCTTAGCCCTCACTATTCAATAATTCTTTCCCTATACGACCTTTAAGGGAATCTCTGCCCTAAACCAGTTCTGAGTCCTTAATACCTTGATAATTTCTTTCATTATCTTATAATTAGAGGAACCACGTATAGGACTATATATGGAAAATTTGAAAAAAAAAAACAAAAAAAAAACTAAACTTGGAAAAAAAATTTCTGTACAAAGTATTAAATTAAAATTTTCACTTTCTAATTTCAATTTTCTCCTCTTCGATTCCTATAACTATAAAAACTGTTTTCCACAATATAATAAGTAATTAAATATTTTCAGAAATTCACTTATTTTTTGTAAACCTAATATCAGTTTTATGGTAAAGTGGCCAAACTGTGAAAACTAACTTAGGAACACAAAACAAGAAAAAAATTTCCTCTGAAGGTATGTCCGCAAACGCTTTGTTTAGGAGATGTTCACACCTAAAGATTTTCGTTGTTATGAATTATTTACGTTTTATGTATTTTTTTTTTTAAGTATTTTTTTTTAAATCGATTTCTTTACCCACACCTGTCATAAGCAATGGCTATTTGCA